ATCTCCCAACTCGGGAGGCTCCAGAGGATGCATGCGGCGCCCCCGGATCCATATCTCTTGGCGGCTCTGTCGAAGCTCAGCAGGTGTCCGATGTGGTCGCTAGAGAGCGTTTCCAGGCTGACCGGGGCCGTCCCACGAACCGCACGGGTAGTATGGTGCCGTCGTAGTCTTGCCCCAGAACCGCACTGATTGCCCAGGGGTTGGCGTGCAATATGATTACGTACTGCCTCCCCGGGTCAGGGTGCTGGAGTAGTGGTGTCGACACTAATCGATCCTTGAGTATCTTGAAAGCATGCCTAGGCTTCTCCAAATCTCGTCCAGAACGGAGCTGCTCGTCTGATATTTCATAGAGAGTGGCCGCGAGCACGGGTAGGTCCTCGATGAACTTAGCGTAGTAGTTAAGGCTCCCGAGGAAGAACCATCCGAGCTGATGTCGTGCCCGAGGTACTTGCACTTCTTGACCCGAATGCACTCTTCGGAAGGCTTACTGAGATGTTCCAGTACCGTAGCCGGTACAAGAGGGCATTCAGTGTTTTGCACAGGTCATCCCAGGACAGAGCTCCGTAGATGATGTCATCAATGTACGAACTCCGGGACAGCACAGGCCCCATCTGTTCCGGGGCGACCCGGTTCTGGTGGAACACGGTGTCGGTGCTAGTCTTGGAGACCACCGCCCCCCGGGGCTCCGTGCCCTGGGATTCCTGGGCGACCGGGTCCTCGGGAGAAATCCCCAGGAACTCTAACACCTCTGGGCCGACGAGTCGTTCCTCGTCCGGGGGTAGCCGGACGAAACCCCAGAGACAGTTGTCCAGGAGCTGTTGGTAAACTAACGGGGCATTCTTGAGTCCGAACGGCATGTGCTTCCACTGGAAGTGTCCGAGCGGGCAAATGACTGCTGAGATCAGCTGGGCTCGGGCCGTCACCGGGCCCGCCCAAAACCCACTCGCCATGTCCAGGGTCATGAACCACATGGTGGTGGCGAAGTTGCTCATGAGCTCGTCGATTAGGGATAGGGGGTAGTTCATCAGCTTAACGAGCTGGTTCACCAACCGGTAGTCGATACACAAGCGGACATCGGTACCATTCTTCTTCATCACGAGAACGATGGCCGATGCCCATTCCGAGTTGGAATATTCGATCAGGCCCGTTTCCAGGAGGCGCTTGAGCAACTCGTACACTTTGGACAATAAGTCGGCGGGGATCCGCCGGGATCGCATGGAAATGGGTTTTTCGGCCCCGACGTCCAAGTCGCACACGACTCCCCGGGCGGGCGGAGGCAGTGCTTTCCTTTCTTCTAAGAAAATCATACGATGTTTCCGGGGGACGGTCCGGAGCCTCTCTTCCTCTTCGGGGTCCGACTCCCCGGGCTCACCGACGATCGCATCTTCGACGATGGCCTCGGGCCGAGATCGCCGAGATCGGGGAGATACGCCAGTTGGTTCTTGAGCATGTCTAAGAGCACGAAGTCGGAACCTTGATGATAATAGACTGCGGGCTCCGCGTCGAGAGTGTCCCCAGCCATCGCTACCATAACGAACGACCGGGCCAATGCCACTTGGGCGTCCATGGGCGCGGACTCGGGGGACTCCGGGACAGGTCCCTGAAATGCCGCGATCTCTGGAGGGGGCTCACCCCTCGAGGAAGCCTGGGCGTCGTGGTCCGAGGACTCGCTCCTCGAGACCTGGGGCCCGGGGTCGACTGGTCCTGGGGGTGTACCCGAGACGACCATGACGCGGTCGGCGCCCGAAGCGGGGTCGAGTGCAGCCGGGGGGTAGTCAAGCATGGGGCCGGTTCCGCACGGGGAGTCCGGGGCCGACTTCCTTGACTGCTCACCCTCCAATGGTGCCGGAGACCGCGAGCC